TATTTATGTGTGCATATATATATATGTGTTGGGGGGGTAGAGTTTGGAGTATAGTCACCTGAGGATCAGGATTGAATTATATTTAATTATTTGTACGTAACACCTGGTAAACTTAGGCACTTGAATTTTTGTTTTGACATTATTAGCCCTAGCTCCAGCTTAAGATTTCTGAGTTGAGAAACTTAGAATACTTGTGAGTATGTCTCAGAAGTTATGTTCAGATAAAATTAGATATGTAAAGGATTATGTCAATTTGCAAAAGAAAAAAATCTTTCAGGAAAAATATATATGGAAAAGGTAGTGGGAGAAATTTAGCATTTATTGAGTTCCATTGTGTGTAGGTGCTAGAACTTAAAATAGTGTCTTGTTAAATCTTTGCATCAGATCTAACTATGTGTGATAACTCTAGAAGGGATACAGGGATGACTGGAACACAGTCCTTTCCTTCAAGGGATTTAGGATTTCTTAAGGGAAATAAGTATATAAACATGATTTTCTTCAGTCTTCTGTAACAAAGTACCAAAAACTGGGTGGCTAAACAACAGAAATTTATTGTCTCACAGGCTAGAAGTCTAAAAAATGTCAAAGGATTGATTCCTTCTGAGGGAGGATCTGTTTCAGGCCTCTTTCTTGTCTTGTATGTAGATGGCCATCCTTCTCCCTGTCTCTTCACGTCGTCTTCCTTCTGTATGTGTGTGTCTCTCTACATCCAGATTTCCTCTTTTTAAAAGGACATCAGTCATATTGGATTTGGGCTCAAATTAGCTTGATTACCTCTGTGAAGACCCATCCTGCATCCAAATAATGTCACAATCCCAGTTTTTGGAGGATAGCACTCCAAAGTATATTTTTAGGAGGGGCTCAATTCAACCTCTGTAACACAGGCATCAGAAGGCAGTTCCCTGAATTCGGAGATCTTAACCTTTCTCCACTCCCAAGACAGAAAAAACTGAAGTTTTACATGTAAGTAAACTAAAGTTTCAAAGGTGCTTCTTCCAATCAGCTTTAGTCTCTCTCTAATTTTTAGTTTTTTGTTTTTTAAGAGATGGAATCTTACTATGTTGCTCAGGCTGGCCTTGAACTCCTGGGCTTAAGTGATCTTCCACCTCAGCCTCCTGAGTAGCTGGGACTACACCCCATTTTACCATCCTTTAGAGCCATAACTAAATCATTTCTAAGACCCCAGACATACCATCTTCAAATCAGTTCCTCTTTCTGAATTTCCATTTTCTGAAACCACCATTTTGAATCATTCCAGTTAAACTCCAACATCTCTCACCTCATTATTCAAGTGTCACAACACTATTTAAAATAGCATGAGCACACTGTGTTCCCTTGCCCTACTTAATTTTTCTCTATAGCTCTTTTCATAGCCTGACATTATGGAGTATGTATCTCCTAGAGATACAGAGATAGGACTTTGCTGTCCCGACTTTTGCTTTTCACAAGCTAAAACTCAAGAACCAGATAGGTTCAGTTTAATAAATAAGGGCTATTTTTTTGTCACTTCATGCTAGAATGTAAACACAATGAAGGCAGGGACCCTATACTTGCTCACAGCTGCATTCCCAGTGCTTAGAAAAAAGTACCTGGAATATCTACACTCAGTAAAACTAAGTAGAATAAATGAACAAATACTTGTTTGTTTATTTTCTTTTCTACCTACACTTCTAAAATTTATGTTCAGGTACTGCCTTAACCACAGGATTAATATATCCTCACAAATTCCCTATGAGGTAGGTAACATTTCTGCCTTCATTTTACATATAGGGCGAGAGGCGCAGAGAGCTTCTTACACTAGCAGTTTATTCAGAGTTTTGGAGCTCTGGTAAACTGTGGAGCCAGGATCAAATTCAAGTCTCCTGACCATAGAGACCTTTGCTGTAACTATTACCTCTGCAGTGGTCTCCTGCATCTCTGCTTCTGGAACCCCTGCATGTTACAAACCTTCTTACCAAAGGAATCTTTCTTTTTTTTTTTTTTTTTTTCTCATTCTATAAAGATTAAATCATTTCCAAATCACAGTGAAAGGAACATGAGTAATTAATCAATTTTGTTTCTACTATGTGCCTTAGTGATACCTCACTAAAATTTGGTATCTGACACAACAGAATAACATTTGCAGAATGTAATATTGTAGTGATCGCACTGAGGTTGATTGTTACAGACTATTAAATGGTTACATCTTAATTATTTATATAGAACATTGGTCCGATAACATACAAATAGAGAATAGCATCCACAGATTTATCTCATTCAATGTTCGGAGATAAAAGAGCTAACCATCCTTTCCATTATTTTCTGCAGTAAGTCCTTGTTCACAATGAAATCTGATGGCAATTAAATTCTAGCATTTTCCCCAGCTACTGTATGAAGAGGATGCTGAAGGCCATCACTATGCAGCATACTGCAACATAAGGACTCTTCCTTTCACCAATTCGGGCACACTGCCAAAATATACCCAACAATCCAGTTTTATTTCTGTCCAGGAGGCTGGGTGCCAAGGATCAAATATAAGCACAGGTACAAATAAGCAGCAAGATTACAGTCAATAGACTCTGAAAATTGTTAATGGCAGGCTGGCGAGGCTGGCGAGGCTTCAGCCACAATATCACCCTTCTGGGCTGCAGGCGGCCAAAGGAATCTTTCTAAAGCACTTATTTTGTAGGGTCACTCTGATGGTTCCACTTCAATGTAAAGTGCTTCAGTGCTTGATATTTAAGACTCTTCACAATCTAGTTCTGTTGGGGGCAGAAATGTAATGGACTTTAACTGAAGAATGAGTAATAACTAAAGATGAAAGAGAAATACCTTGCATGCATCCCTGTTCTAGGCATTTATCAAGGGCTGCAGGCTGGGCCTGATAGTTCACGCCTGTAATCCCAGCACTTTGGAAGGCTGAGGAGGGCAGATCAACTGAGGTCAGGAGTTTAAGACCAGCCTGGCCAACATGGTGAAACCCCCTGTCTCTACTAAAAATTCAAAATTAGCCAGGTGTGGTGGTGCATGGCTGTAATTTCAGCTACTCTAGAGGCTGAGGCAGAAGAATCACTTGAACCCCGGAGGCGGAGGCTGCAGTGAGCCAAGATCACGCCATTGCACTCCAGCCTGGGCAATAGAGTGAGACTCCATCCCAAAAAAAAAAAAAAAAAAGTTAAGTTATCCTATTGCCAGGTTCTTCTAGTGTCAAGCATGCCTTCTTGTCTGTTTTCCCTAAGACCTCCCTCTTAAAGCCCTCTGACCTATAACTCCAGTTCGCATTTTCCTAAACTAAACAAAAATGTCAACAAATTGTACACAAACACCAGGCTTGGTGGCCCACAACTGTAATCCCAGCAGTTTGGGAGGCTGAAGCAGGCAGATCACCTGAGGTCATGAGTTCAAGACCAGCTTGACCAACGTGGTGAAACCCCCTGTCTACTAAAAATACAAAAATTAGCTGGGCGTGGTGGTGCATGCCAATTGTCCCAGCTACTTGGGCGGCTGAGGCGGGGGAATCACTTGAACCTGGGAGGCAGAGGTGTCTGTTACCATGCCTGGCTAATTTTTGTGATAAATTAACTTTTAAAAAATATAGTGATATATATTTTTAAAAATTTCTTTATTTTATAGTTTGGGGGTACAGGTGGTTTATAGTTATGTGAATGAGTTCTTTAGTGGGGAATCCTGAGATTTTAGTGCACCCATCACCTGAGCAGTATACACTGTACCCAATATGTAGTCTTTTATCCCTAACCCCCTTGCATCTTCTCCCCCACCCCAAGTCACCAAAGTCTATTATATCACTCTGTATGTCTATAAGTCCTCATAGCTTAGCTCCCATTTATAAGTGAGAACATACAGTATTTGGTTTTCTATTCCTGAGTTACTTCGCTTAGAATAATGGCCTCCAGCTCCATTCATGTTGCTGCAAAAGACATTTCATTCCTTTTCATGGCAGAGTCATATTCCATGGTATATAGATGCTACATTTTCCTTACCTATTCATTGATCAGTGGGTACTTAGGTTGGTTCCACATCTTTGCAGTTGAGAACTGTGCTACTATAAAAGTTCATTGCATGGATACATTTTCAAATACAGTAAACATTTATAATGGAATGTATTGATCAAGGGGCTTGAGTAGATGATCCTTTTAGCAATTACAGGTTTTACCTTACATGAACAAATTGATAATCAAATTTAAATAGATACAGGTGATTTATGCAGCTAATAAATATATTCAACGTACCTCATGTTGAACATTTAGGTTTCTAATTTGTTCCAATAGAAAACACAGAAGAACCCTTTTTAAATAAAAGCCACAGGCTGGTTATGGTAGCTCATGCCTATAATCTCAGCAATTTGGTAGGCCGAGGCTGGAGAATCACTTAGGTCTAGGAGTTCTAGACTGGTATGGGTAAAATAGTGGGATCCCATCTCTAAGAAAATTTAAAAATTAGCCAGATGTGGTACTGTACATCTGTAGTCCCAGCTACTTGGGACTGAGGTGGGAGGATCACTTGAACTGAGGAGGGCAAGGCTGGAGTGAGCTGTGATAGTACTACTGCACTGCAGCCTGGGTGGCAGAGCGAGATCCTGTCTCAAAAATAAATGAACAAACGAATTAAATAAATGCTACATAGTCCTCTGTCTCACCTGTTTCCTAGACATTGGCCTACCTCTTTTTTTTTTTTATTGTCATGTTTTTTGAGACGGAGTTTCACTCATGTTACCCCAGGCTGGAGTGCAATGGCGCGATCTCGGCTCACCGCAACCTCCGCCTCCTGGGTTCAGGCAATTCTCCTGCCTCAGCCTCCTGAGTAGCTGGGATTACAGGCACACACCACCATGCCCAGCTAATTTTTTGTATTTTTAGTAGAGACGGGGTTTCACCATGTTGACCATGATGGTCTCGATCTCTTGACCTCGTGATCCACCCGCCTCGGCCTCCCAAAGTGCTGGGATTACAGGCTTGAGCCACCGCGTCCGGCCCTGGCCTACCTCTTAAAGCAACTACTTTTACCCATTGCTTTTTGTTTCATTTTTTAAAATATTTCCATTATTAATATTTTTAAATTCATTATATATAATATGTATCATCTATAGTAATAATTATTAATTCATTATTAATAGTTAGACATGCATATCTCCAGCATACTTATTGCTGTTACTTGATTCATCGGTGTTAGCTATTACCATAAATTCTTGTATGATTGAGGAAGGTATAGTTCACTTGTACTCTCACCACTTTTATCTCCCTCTTCCTCTCAATAAAGCACTGTATTTAGACTTAGTTTTCTAACAGCTTTATTGAGATAAAGCTTATGGCATTTGCATGACATAAATTCACCCATCTAGTGTACAGTTCCATTGTTTTAATATATTGAGCGTGGTGTAATCTCACCATGATCTGAATTTAGAGCATTTTTATTCTCCGTCACTGTTCACCATTACTCCCTTTTCCCAGATCCTGGCAACCACTAATCTACTTTCTGTCTCAATGGATTTGCCTTTTCTGGACATTTCATACAAATAGAATCTTATGATTTTTGTGGTCTTTTGTAATTGGCTTCTCTTCATACAATGTCAAGATTCATTCGTGTTCTTATAGCAGGTATCAGTACATCATTCCTTTTATGTATAGATACATGAATTTTGTTTACTCAACAGTTGGTGGAATTTGGATTATTTCCATTTTTTGGCTATTATGAATAATGCTGTATTTGTATATTCCGCCCTGCCCCCAGGAATCGGTCAGCATTTTACTTTATAGTACATTCATAATAAGTTCCTCCATTTCCAAGGTAACTAGATCCCAGTCAGGTTAACACTGCTGGTAACAAAATTATACGACTATGCATTGTGAACATCCATGTACAAGTTTTTGTGTGGATACATGTTTTCATCTCTTGGTATATACCTAGGAATGGAATTGCTGGGTCATATGGTAATTCTAACATTTAGCATTTTGAGGAATTAACAAACTTTTCCATAGTATGTGCCATTTTACATTCCCACCAGCGATGTTTAAGGGTTCCAGTTTTTTCACATCTTCACCAACACTTGTTATTGTCTATTTTGATGACTTTGTAACTTTAATATACCTTGAATAGGAAAACTTAAAACCGTTTTGTTGTCTGCTGTCACCACACAACAATGAACAAGGCTCCTGTGATCAAATGTGTGGGACTTTTTCTCCCACCATACACCACGCAATCAGTTCTGCAGCAGATACCAGCTAGGTGTCCTCTGATTCAGTTCAGTTCTAAAGCTGTCTTCCTGGAGACCCTGTGGATTGAGGGCTCACTCCCCAAGACTGCCCCTCCCCCATATCCAGTGCCAGTTGCAAGCCCCCGGTTGTTTTACCTGTGCCTCTGATGAACTGGCTACCCCAGGTTGTTTTACCTGTGCTTCTGATGAACTGGCTATAAATTGGGTTTCCCATGACACTCTCCTTGGGGTGAATTAATTTGCTAGAGGAACTGACAGAACTCAGGGCAACATGTTTACTGTTTTTTTTTTTTTTTTAATAAAGGATGTTACAAAGGATAGAGATGAATAGATGCATAGGGCCCAAGGTATGAGAAGGAGCACAGAGCTTCCATGCCCTCTCTGGGTGTACCACCTTCCAGGAATCTCTACTTATTCAGCTGTCTGGAAGCTCTCCGTACCTCATCCTCTTCAGCCTTTCATGGTGACTTCATTGGATAGGCATGAGCAAAGCATGGACAACTGTGGAGAAATGTGATTGGACAAAAAGAGATCAACCTAATAGACTGAGTATAGAAACCCAGCAGGATCTGTCTGTTCAGAGTCTTGGCCTCTCTGTGCATCATTCCTTTCCTTAAGGTATGGCGCAGGACCTCTGAAATGGGGATCTTACCAATCAGAATCAGATAAGGTAGGTCAGAGAATTTATTTATGGAAAGGCATGGGAGGATTACATTACTGCATTGAGAAGAAAAAGGAGCAGGTGAAGGAGGGCAGGAGAAGGTCAGAGAGAGATTCTGTTTTCTGAGGCCTGTTTTTGAGGCCTAAAGAGCCCCAACATTATAACAAGAAACTAATTAGGGCTATGGGAGTTAGGAGCCAGGAACTGTGTATGAAAACAACAAACACACTTACTTTTGGTTTCATCAACTATAATGGGCACTTTGACTTTGTAACATGAGAATATTGGTGGACTGACTTTCTCTCCCAGCTGCCCCTAAATTCTGTCTTTACAATCTTTACAAAAGAACCCTTATGTTCTACTTTGTAGCCATAATTATTTTATGCTTTTTCCTGAGGTGGATTTTGAAGTAGAAAATCAATAAACTGCATTTATGTTTTTTTGACTGTGTCTTGTGCCTATAAGTATGTAACTTTTTTTGTTTAGGTTTTGTTTGTTGGAATTTATATTACATTTTTCTCCCTTGTGTTACTTTTTTTTTTTTTTTTTTTTAATCATACTGTTAGATTCTTCCAGAAAGTATATCTCAAGCATACTTTCTTAGAAAGTCTTTGGTTTTTTTTTCCCTGGGATCTCTCAGAGCCCTGTGGTCTCTGGCTCTAGGTCAGATTAAATGCATTTCAGGCCTTCTCTATAGTTGCGCTCTTGGAATTTCCTGTTGGGCTCTTCTGTTTTTGATCTGTAAAACAGACTCCTGTGGATTCTATGTCTTCTCTCTCAGTTTTTTTTTCTTTTTTCTTTGAGACAGAGATTCACTCTTGTTGCCTAGGCTGGAGTACAATGGCGCAACCTCTGCCTCTCGGGTTCAAGCAATTCTCCTGCCTCAGGCTCCCGAGTAGCTGGGATTACAGGCATGCTCCACCACGCCTGGCTAATTTTTTTGTATTTTTAGTAGAGGCGGGGGTTTCACCATGTTGGTCAGGCTGGTTTCGAACTCCTGACCTTGTGATCCACCCGCCTTGGCCTCCCAAAATGCTGGGATTACAGGCGTGAGCCACCACGCCTGACCTTTCTCAGTTTTACTGCTTTTTTTCTTGATCTCAAGTAACTTCTTCAGACAAAATGAATGGGAGATAAGTTTCAGTGTCCATCTATATTTGAAAAACTTTGCTCTCAAATGCTGTTTGAGACTTATACTAGGTTTTTGAAAAATCCTTAGAATTTAGAACCCATTGCCTCATTGTCTTTTAGTGTACTAGCTTTCTGATGAGATAGATGATGACAGTCTAATTAGTGGCCTTCTAGCTTTTTTTTCCTCTAGAAGCCTTTAGAGTCTTCTTTTTAAAAATTTCCCCAATAATGGTTTAAGTGGAGCTTCCATTCAGTCTCCAGAAGTTTCTTGAATTTCTTTAATAATTTTCTCTCTTCTATTTTCATAAGTTTCTCCTTTTGCAACTCTGATTATTCAGATGTGGGAACTTCTGGATTGATTGTCTCATCTCATTTTGAGCATTATTATCTTGAATAGAGATATTGACGGGATAATGGTCGATTATGAGATAAGTGGGCCATTTTTTTCCCCTTCTACATTTAGGGAATGGTCAACTTTATTTTCTGAAACTTCTTTCTAACTACTCATCTTTTAGACTGGAGCATCATAGTCTATACAGAAATCAGCATCATTTTACATTTCTCTATTCATATTAACTAGTTTTTAAGTTTTGTCATTTTCCTGAATGCATATCTCTTCTCTAGGGTCAATTTTTTAATTGCTTATCTTGGTCTCTGTTTTTGGAGCCCTGGGCTCTCTTCAGATGTTCGATGATCCTTAGTCACTTTTAATTTTTATGGACAAAGCATTAGAGACCTGATTGATAGCCCTACGTCCCTGGCAAGGGTTTTTTTTTTTTTTTTTTTTTTTTCCTTTTGAGACAGAGTCTCACTCTGTCGCCCATGCTGGAGCACAGTGGCATGATCTCAGCTCACTGCAACCTTTGCCTCCCAGGTTCAAGTGATTCTCACACCTCAGCCTCCCGAGTAGCTGGGATTACAGCCGTGTACCACCATGCCCGGCCAACTTTTTGTATTTTTAGTAGTTACGGGGTTCCATCTTGTTGGCCAGGCTGGTCTCAAGCTCCTGGCCTCAAGGGTTCCAGTGGCCTCGGCCTCCCAAAGTGCTGGGATTACAGGCATGAGCCAGCTTTTTCTTTAGAGTAAATACGTGTGAAGCTACTTGTGTTATGTTTGGTCCTACTGAATGCCAGAATCTGGAAAACTTTACTCTGGGGTACCATCATCCCCACTAACAGCATTTGTTCTTTCCAGTTTATTTCATTTTCTTTAGAGAATAGACCTCTGTTTTTTCCCCTGCAAGATAAATACTAGCTTGTCTGCTGTGCAGTGTATGGTGTCAACTCCATTATATAAACCTTCAGCTAACCTCCACCCCACCCCTTTTTTCAGAGACAAGGTCTCACTGTGTCACTCAGGCTGGAGTGCAGTGGCATAATTGTGACTTACTGCAGCCTCGACCTCCCAGCCTCAAGCAATCCTCCCAGCTCAGTTCCCTGAGTAGCTAGGACTACAGGCGTGCACCACCACACCTGGTTAATTTTTGTATTTTTTTTTAGTGATGGGGTTTCACCATGTTTCCCAGGGTGGTCTTGAACTTCTGAGCTCAAAGGATATGCCTGCCTTGGCCTCAGAAAATACTGGGATTACAAGTGTGAGCCACTGCTCCTGGTCCCAAATCTACTTTCATTAAGTTTGAATCAAAGAATCTGTTTCAGAATTCTATCTTAATTAATTGAAATTCTTCAAATTGAAGAATGTTGTTCCTTCGGACTCCTTTTTTTTTTTTTTTTTTTCTTTTCCAGTCTTTCTAAGGTTCAATTCAGGTATCAGACTCCTTATTTCTACCTAGGAAAGTGGGGCAGTTTATTGCTAAATAGATTTCCCAAACACAGGTCTTCAGTTACAATGCACATTGAATCAGAAAGTTTTATAACTAATTTTGTGAACCCTGGGGGATTAAAAAAAAATCAAGAATTGAGGAAGGGTGGAATGGCCACTAAAAATCTAAACCTAAATCATTAGTCATATGAAGATATTTCTTATGTCTCAATAGCTCAGCAATACCATGTAACTGGTTTTGCTATTAAAATGTTTTTCTGTTAAATTGGATCTTTTGAAAAAATAATCTGATAAAACAGGTTGATGAAAAGGTAAATGAATACTAAAAAATTAAAATGTATTTTCCTTTAGCCATTGAAAGGAATGCTGTGTACCCTGCCTTTTTTTTTTTTTTTTTTTTTTTTTTTTTTGACAGATTTTTACTCTGTTGCCCAGCTTGGAATGCATTTTTAGTAGACAGGGTTTCTTTCTCTATGTTGGCCAGGCTGGTCGCAAACTCCTGGCCTCAAATGATCTACTTGCTCAGCCTCCCAAAGTGCTGGGATTACAGGCATGAGACCCAGATGTACCCTGGTTTTTTATGCTTAAAGAGACAGGCAACTAATAAATGTCAGAGCCTGAATGCAAATTTAGGTTTTTCTGTTGCTTGAACTTCTCAGTGCACAAAAATTGTTATATAACCAATTGATGACATATAGAGAAGGAAATCAATAAATATTTTTAAATATTTTTAATGCATTATAAAATGAAATATCATTTTTACCTATCAAATAAGCTTTCAGAACTTGATAAGTTCTGAAAGTTTTCAGAACTTGATAGTACTTAAATACTAAAAGCCCATGTGTGGCTGGTGGGGATGTAACTTAGTACAACTTTTTTGGGAAGCAGTCATACTACATAAAAATCATTAGAAGCATTCATGACCACTGACTGGAAAGAAATATTCCGAAATGTTAATAGTTGTTCTGATTAGGTATGTCTTAAAACAAGTGTTTTCCAAATTTTTCACAATTAACATGTTATTTTTATAAATAGGAATGTTTCAACCTCTACCTAGTAGTTTAGTTTTAGGGAAATAATTCTGATTACAGAATAAAGATTATCCAAAAGTATTCAACAACTGTATTTTTAGTAATGAAAAATTAGAAACAAGTTAAATGTCCAACTGAGCAGAATGTGCCAAAGTAAGCAATGATACTTCTAAGAGAAGCATGTTAAGATTTAAGAGACGCATAAAAATGAAAAAAGTTTATAATAGAAAAAGCCAGATGCAAAGTTGTTTATATAGTATGTGATTACAGATAAATATTTTTATGAAGATATAGCAACATATTAGAAAAAAATTCAGTAGTTTATCAGTGATTACGTTTGGATATTGAGAGTCAAGTAATTTTTCTCCTTTGTACTTTTTAATATTTTTCTGATTTTATTATGTATGATGTTTTAAAAAAGTAATATTTTTCTAACATGAGGTAAAACTATAGCTAATGTTTTCCTAGGCTGCCACTTGGTAATACGCTGTTCATATTATCTGAAGGTTTAGTTTTTTATGGTGATGGTGGGATTTGATAATGTCCTATTTTCTTCTGCTCAAATGGAATGTGCATTTTTGTAACATTTCTTAGATCTGAAACTCAGCACCGAGGCTCTGCTCCCCACTCTGAGAGTGATCTACCAGAGCAGGAAGAGGAGATTCTGGGATCTGATGATGATGAGCAAGAAGACCCTAATGATTATTGTAAAGGTAAGTTCATAAGGAGATATGAAGGAAGACATGTTCCATTTATCTGCAGTTTCTCATTTGGATGTTTGCTGTATCAGCATAAACACAGTTTATTGCTGTTTACTTGTATCCTTTTCTCTAAAACATGTGAAATAGTATTTGTTCTTAGTCTGACTTAATTTATCAAAGCCTAATTTTATATTAGATGTTTTTACCTTTTTCCTCTTTAAAAATTACAGTACATGCTTACCTTAGAAAATTTCAGAGCCATATTAAACAGAAAAGAAAGTAAAAGCCATCAGCAATGCTGTCAGCCACATATAACCAGTGGTAACATTTTGGCATATAGATTTTTATAAAATATCTTCTTACTACTTTTTGCTCATAGTGACAGCTGATAAGTTAAACTGGAATTACAAACACTTAAGCGGTGTCATCAGGTTGCCTGTGTCTTTTCTGTTTCTTAATGAGACTTTCCAGAGTCTTTGGATAGGAAGATAAAATGAATGTATCATACTGTCTAAGAGAAGAACGTGGTCCTTCTTATTCTCAGCTGGCAAAGATATATATGAAAATACTTTGATTCCTGCCACTGTTGGCAGCTTTTTCAGGCCTTCCTCTGTTTTCTGTTTTTTATGGGTTTTTTTTTTGTTTTGTTTTGTTTATTGAGACAGTCTCGCTCTGTTACCCAGGCAGGAGTGCCGTGGCACAATCTCAGCTCACTGCAGCCTCTGGCTCTTGGGTTCAAGCGATTATCATGCCTCAGGCGCCCACCACCATGCCTGGCTAATTTTCATATTTTTAATAGAGGCAGAATTTCACCATGTTTACCAAGCTGGTCTCAAACTCCTGACCTCAAATAATCCGCCCTCCTCTGCCTCCCAAAGTGCTGAGATTACAGGCATGAGTCACCATGCCTGGCCTGTTTGTTTTTTTTTTATTTAAAGAAATCTTTTTTACTTTTTTTTTTTTTTTTTTTTTTTTTTTTTTGTTAAATAAACAATTTATTATTCTGTCTCCTAAAAAACACCTGAGACTGTAATAGATATATATGTTTAGATAAACTTATTGGATTATTGAGAGACAAGAATACTGTGATATGCAATCTGTTTATTGTTTGTGGATGAGGCTGTTGTAGGCTCAATCTAAATCATTAATCTTATTCACTAAGAATTTTTTATAACATGAATTCAGTAATACTGTACAACTGATTTGACTACTAAGGTTTTCTTCTGTTGAGTTGATTGTATAAAAGAAACTTTTTATTTGATAAAAGGTATATAGATATTTAAAAACATGATGTAAAAATACCTTTTCTTACCATTGTTTCTCATCCTGGTTTTTCTGATTATATTTCCCCTGTTTCTTCCAGGGGGTTATCATCTTGTAAAAATTGGAGATCTATTCAACGGGAGATATCATGTGATCCGAAAGTTAGGCTGGGGACACTTTTCAACAGTGTGGTTATCATGGGATATTCAGTAAGTTCTAGTGGTTCTGCAAAAGAATTTGTTAGATGATGCCCAAATGTTTTTGTCTGATTTTCCATTGCTGATTCAGGCTTCAGTCTATCTCTAGCTTGATTCATTTATCAGAATTTTGTTGTTGGCAGTAGTCTCTATATTCTTTAACAAATCACTTTTCTTTCATGAAGAATCAATATTATATATCTCCCACTCTCCTTTAGAGACAAGAGTAATTAAATTAATGCCAGTAAGGCTTTGGTCATTTGCTTTTTTGTGATTTTTATCATTTTGTTTTCACCCAAATATTTATTCTGGCTGCCTATGGGAAAATATTACAGTTTTTAAGCTTTTAGTTTTTGCCTGTATACAGATACACAGGACACTTGGAATTTGGTGGCATCTTCCCCCTTATTTATCCTCATTTTGCTTGGAATTCAGGGAGATACTCAAAAAAAGGATTTTGACTCAGAGGAAATGTTCAACAACTGAAATTATCTGAGAACAGATATTTTTTCTTCCTATAAATGAAATAACAAGTGCAAATGTTTCCATAGAAGTAGCTTGTACGGGCTACAGGGAAACATGAAATCAATATTTGTCCATATATATATATATATATATATTTTTTTTTTTTTTAATTGCACTTTAGGTACTGAGGTACATGTGCAAAACATGCAAGATTGTTGCATAGGTACATACCTGGCAATGTGGTTTGCTGCCTCCATCCCCCTTTTACCTTTATCTGGCATTTCTCCCCATTATACCTCCCCAACCTCCCTACCCACTGCTGTCCCTCCCCTATTCCCCCACAACAGACCCCAGTGTGTGATGCTCCCCTCCCTGTGTCCATGTGTTCTCATTGTTCATCAGTACCCGCCTATGAGAGAGAACATGCGGTGTTTGTTTTTCTGTTCTTGTGTCAGTTTGCTGAGAATGATAGTTTCCAGAATATTTGTCCTTTTTAGCCATCTTACTTATAGCTAAATCATAGCTTTCTAAAGTAAGGGAAGGCTACGTAGTCTTAATTGCCTGTGCTTGTTTTTTAGGGGGAAGAAATTTGTGGCAATGAAAGTAGTTAAAAGTGCTGAACATTACACTGAAACAGCACTAGATGAAATCCGGTTGCTGAAGTCAGTGAGTATTAGATTATATGTATGAATGCAAAGAATTATAAATAAAGTTTCATTGAATTAAAACACACCAAGTGGAGACTCCTTAGCATGGATAATTTTTTCTATAAAGGTCTAGTATCCTTAAAGAGGTAGAGGAAGACAACAATATTTACACATTCCATGCATGTAGTAGGGAACTGGTGGGAAATGGTATGATTAGATTTCTTCTTATACACGTGAACCAAAAAAAAACCTTTCAAATTAATAAAAATATTCAGAGTGTGTTTTATAGGCCACGTAGCACTGTCATAATGTTCTTCTTTCTTGCTGTGGTTAAAAGGAAAGTTATGTAAATAAATGTATAGCATCTTTTTTGTTTTGTTTTCAAATATGTTATGGAATACATAATATAAAAATTATTGTATTTTGCTGATTTTCTTTATACCTGGAAACTGAGATAAATTTTATCAAAAATGTATTTTTAGTTTTGTTTTAAATTAGGAATGTGCCAATGTAGTAGAAGGAACTTAAACTCAGATTAGAAAACCTGGGTTTAGTTTGCCTTTACTCTGGTATGTCCTCCATGTTACTATTTTTTTCTTTCTGATTTTTTTGTTCATAAAGTGAGAATGTTGCACCAGGAGATTTCTATGGCAGTGCTTTTTTTTTTTTTTTTTTTCCAACTCCTGGCCTCAAGTGATCTTTGCCTTACCCTCCAGAGTAGCTGGGGTTACAGGCACAAGCCACTGCACCCGGCTTAAGATAATACTTTTCATAATGTCCCTTTGTGACAAGTTAAGGAGCCTTGTACCTACCCAAAAGTAAATCAACAAACTGTTTTCTTCATTGAGAAAGTTTTTCTTTGAAAAAAAAAAAAGTCAGCTGGAAAAAACTGTGGTTAGTGCTGTGGTTGATTTGCATCCTGTAAAAGCTGCTTAGTTCCTCATAACCTGGTAATCAGCAGTTAATTTGGAGACCACACTTTGATTGATATCAGGAAGCAAAATAGTTGAATTAGAAAAACAGTTCCTGTTGGTTGTATTTTCTCTTATGAATTGACTGTTTTAAGTTTTTCTCCATTAAAGCTATTGAAATTTTAGTATGTTTTAAAAACAGATTTATGTGAGCTCTTTCTTGGAGTTAATTTGCTATAAGTATTCTTCCCCTACTATTTGGCTGATTTCCATGCTTTACCTTTTGCTAAATACCATCTCTTCCCCACTGCAGGTTCGCAATTCAGACCCTCATGATCCAAATAGAGAAATGGTTGTTCAACTACTAGATGACTTTAAAATATCAGGAGTTAATGGAACACGTATCCTTTAAAAAATATATTTGAGAATAAATCATCCCAATCCCAAAGAAAGGAACTAGATTTGTTGTGTAGATGGTCGTGGTGTCTTTTCTCAAGGCAAACAGTAATAAAATTACCTCTTTCATTGTACACTTCTGAACACAGATCTGAATTATGTCTAATTTTGTGTGGTGTGACTTTTTAGGATATTACTTTAAGCTTTTTTCCCCTTTTTAGGCAAATTAAACCAAAGTCAAAAGAAACCTTTAGAAAATAGCCTTGTATCACTAACTAGAGATTCTATGATCTTTGTCAATTAGCACAGAAACTTTAAGGGAGGTAATTTAAAAATACTGGGTAAGCGGGGCGCAGTGGCTCATGCCTGTAATTCCGCACTGGGAGGCCAAGGTGGGTGGATCACCTGAGGTCAGGAGTTCAAGACCAGCCTGACCAACATTGAGACCCTCAAAAAAAAAATAAATTACCTGGGCGTGGTGGCAGGTCCCTATAATCCCAGCTGCTGGGGAGGCTAAGGCAGGAGAATTGCTTGAACCCGGGAGGCAGAGGTTGCAGTGAGCTGAGATCGCGCCCACTGCATTCCAGCCTGGGCCACAGAGCCAGACTCTGTCCCAAGAAAAATACTGGATAAACAAGAATTTAAGGTATGATTGTATTTATTATATTAGGCCTCAACTTTGAAGAGGCTGTGAATGTATGTTTAGAGTCTAAAAGGGTGTGATTGTTCACTTTCTGTTAGAATGAAAAAACTGACTTGTTTCATGTTTTTATCTGAATTTTTAGAATTGTAGAATTGGAAGGAACCTTAGCTGATTTTCTTCACAGGTTACTATCAAAATGACTTGCATTGAGCTAATTGAAAGATCATTGCTCCTTCTGACCCACAGTTTAAAAAAAAAAAAAAAAAAAGGTTATTGCAACAGCTATGCTTATAATAGTCAATCAGATTTTTCAGTAAAAGATGAAGTCGAATCTTACTTAGATTGGAGAATCTAAAATTACCTGTTTATAAGCTGTTTTAAAAATGTATACCATCCTGGCCAACATGGTGAAACCCCGTCTCTACTAAAAGTACAGAAAATTAGCTGGGCATGGTGGTGCGTGCCTGTAGTCCCAGCTGCTTGGGAGGCTGAGGCAGGAGAATTGCTTTAAACCGGAAAACGGAGGTTGCAGTGAGCCGGGATCGTGCCACTGCACTCCAGCCTGGTGATAGAGGGAGACTCTGTCTCCAAAAAAAAAGTATATAAAGACATTTTATGTATCATTTTACTTTCCATGCATGTTTAGCTTCTTACAAAGCACATTCCTAGTTGCCGTTGATCTTTTTTATTTAAAGGAAACAGGATTACATATGACTGTAGTTTCATGTAGACTATGGGAAGATATTTGAAAAGAGAAGCAGGAAGAAGGAATGAGAAAGGAGAGGGAACAGGTGATAATGTGGAAAGACTATCTATTGTTTTGAAGTTAATTCTGAGTCATTTCCATACAAATCATAGATCCCCCAGATGTCTAAGGAAAACTGCTGCGGCCATCTTAAAACAGTATCTTGTGCCTACTGTGGTCACTTTGTAGATGGCATGTTTTCTCTCTCTCTTTCTCTCTCTCGTGTGTGTGTGTGTGTGTGTGTGTGTTTGTGTGTGTTCAAAGAATTAAGTCTAACCAAGAAATTTTTTTAAACCTGCACAGGATGTCATGATGGCCATATCTGTTTTTTTCTGTTATTTAATCTTGTAATATTTATCACTGTGCCAGATTTCTTTACTAATTTGCAAAAGTTCCAAGTAAAACTCTAGAGCTCTCCCCAGTAATGCTGAGTACCTTTATTTCACCCTAACTAAGCAAAGAAGGTTTTTTAACTTTTGAAATATCTTAGTAGGTTTGAATTTCAAGTTCCAAGATATTTTTCAGACATAGCTAGGTGGGTTTCTGTGTAGTTTCTGTCCATTGATTCCGTATTTGATTCTTTTCTCCCTTTGTTCTTAGCTGTTGTTTCCTGTCTTTCTTTATCCTTATCTCCCAGCTGTCTTTGCTACTGCATTATTTGCTACTATTAGAGATTGAAAGGATATAACTCAGAACATTATGCCAAGGGTTAGTAATGGCCCACATCATTCTCCTGCCCCTACCCATTTTCACAACATAACATACCCACACAGAGTTGTATATTCACATTTGTGTGTGTGTGTGTGTGTGTGTGTGTGTGTGTGTGTGTGTTCAGGCATTTTTTTCTCTTGACCGCTATCCTTTCTCATGTTAAAATATAAAGGACCCTGAACTAGAACGTTAGTTCTTATAGAATTCCGTATAAACTGGCTCACTATACTTCCATGGAGGATGAGGGGAAAAGAATGATTAAGAAGGGAGACAGTGAGCCGGGCGCGGTGGCTCAAGCCTGTAATCCCAGCACTTTGGGAGGCCGAGGCGGGTGGATCACGAGGCCAAGAGATCGAGACCATCCTGGTCAACATGGTGAAACCCCGTCTCTACTAAAAATACAAAAAATTAGCTGGGCATGGTGGTGTGTGCCTGTAATCCCAGCTACTCAGGAGGCTGAGGCAGGAGAATTGTCTGAACCCAGGAGGCGGAGGTTGCGGTGAGCCGAGATCGCGCCATTGCACTCCAGCCTGGGTAACATGAGTGAAACTCCGTCTCAAAAAAAAAACAAGAAGGGAGACAGGTCTCTTTATATAATGTTGACATTAGCCAGTCATGATTGTCTACCTATATGACCTCCTATGTCTTTAGTATACTTTTTTTTCCATGCTATATACTCTCTTTTTGCTAGCTCCTCTTATTCATAATGTGCCCTAACTGTGCTTACTCAATAATGTAAGCCTTTTAGTTTCAGCCTTTTGTGATTTTCTTTATACTCTCCCCAAGAGATTTTTTAAAAATATAATCTTTTGATTTCAATTATCAGTGCTCCTTCTGATTGCTACTCGTTAGCTTTCCTTCACTGAAATTATTTGGCTCATCTTTTTTTTTACCAATTGATTATGATGTTCTACCAATTTTTTTTTTAAAGCTGCTATATGTTTGGCCATTTTAATATCACTGCTTACAAATTAAAACAACATTCTCAAATTATAATACTTCTCCCAACAAATGAAAATTAAGCAGATTAAAGCTAGAAAAAAAAGAAAATAGCTTTACAGTTCTATTTTATGTTTACTCTTTTTAAGCAATCTGCGTTTTAAATCTTGTTTTGATAGATTTTTTTATTTGCTTTTTTTTTTTTTTGGAGACACGGTTTCGCTCTTATTGCCCATGCTGGAGTGCAGTGGCGCAATCTCGGGTCACTGCAACCTCCACCTCCTGGGTTCAGGCGATTCTCCTGTCTCACCCTCCCGAGCCTATTTAATTGCTTTTTAAAAAAAATTTGTTGGCCAGGCATGGGGGCTCACACCTATAATCTTAGCACTTTGGGAGGCCAAGGCGGGCAGATCATGAGGCCAGGAGTTTGAGACCAGCTTGGCCAACATGATGAAACCCCATCTCTACTAAGAATACAAAAATTAGCTGGGCGTGGTGGCACACGCCTGTAATCCCAGCTACTCAGGAGGCTGAGGCAGGAGAATTGTTTGAACCCTGGAGGTGGAAATTGCAGTAAGCTGAGATCATGCCACTGCACTCCAGCCAGGGCGACAGAGCAAGACTCCGTCTTGGGGGGAAAAAAATGTCTTAGCAGAATCATCATAAAGAAATAGAAATAATTTAATGAATCCCCACAGATCCATTATCCATTTCAGGAGTTATCAACTTATAGCCAATCTTGTTTTGTCTCTACCTCCTGATAATTCTGTAGCCAGTCTTAAATATTTTATTCAAAATTGTTTTAGAATGTATTTTTAAAGGACAAGGACTCTTAAAATATAACCTAGCCAGGTGCTATGGCTCATGCCTGTAATCCCAGCACTTTGGGAAGCTGAGATGTTCAAGAGCAGCCCGGGCAACATAGCAGGACCCTGTCTGTACAGGAATAAAACTAGCCAGGCGTGGGAGGCTGGGAGGGTAAGGCATCAGTGTCAGTTGAGCCTGGGAGTTTGAGGCTGCAGTGAGCTGTGGTAGTGCCACTGCACTCCACTGTGCGTGGCAAAACAAGATGCCATCTCTGACAAGAACAATAGATGTATTAAATAACAAGATAACCTCAATACAATTATTACACCAAACAAAAATTGGGACCAATTTCTTTTTTTTTTTTTTTTTTTTTTTTTTTT